TTCAGCGCTACAGACCTCGCTCTACGCGCTGCAAAAGCCGCTGCACAGGCCGTTGGGAGGAATATGGCCTCTCTCACCGTGGCTGAGAGACATATGTGGCTGACGCTTTCCGAGATGACGGAAGCTGAGCGCTCCGTGTTCCTCGATGCGCCCATCTCGCCAGCGGGCCTTTTCGGATCTGCCGTCAAAGATTTCGCGGACAGATTCGTCGAGGTGCAGAAAACGTCACAGGCTATGAAGCACTTCATCGAGCTCCGCTGCAGGTCCCTAGCACCCCGTACATTCACGAAGTGCACGAAGTGCATGGACGCGGCTCTCGCACCCCTGAGACTTCATAGCCACGGCTCTATAGTCCCACTCAAAAGGTTTCAGAAAATGCTGGGCCTATGGCCTCAGCAGCCTCTGTACTCCAGCTGGGCCTGCTTCGCATGCGCCCACTGCAGATGTGGCTGAAAGCACGAGTTCCGCCCCGGGCATGGACCGCTGGTCTGTTTCACCTCAGGGTCGATCTAAAGTGCGTTTCAGCTCTGGAACCTTGGAAAGTAACCGACTGGTATCAGTCAGGTGTGAGTCTGGGGACCTCCTCGAGTGTGAAGGTGGTGTCTACGGACGCCTCCACCTCGGGATGGGGAGCGCTGCTCAAGGGCAGACCGTTCGCTGGCCTGTGGTCAGAACGGAAAAGCTCCTTCACATAAACTGCTTGGAAATGATAGCAGTCGACAAAGCGCTACGGCGCTTCTGTCCCCAGATAAAAGGTCACCACGTCTTGGTCCGGTCGGACAACATGTCAGTGGTGGCATACATAAATCACCAGGGCGGCATCAGGTCCCGAAACCTTTACCTGTTCGCGTCCCACGAAAACGCTCATTGTCCGAACTTTTTCTCGAAAAGCAAAGACGCGCTGGCCCACGTCTGGCCCCGCTGTCCCCTATATGCTTTTCCCCCTGTCTCGCTCCTGCTTCAAGTGTTGGAACGAATCAGGGAAAACGGTGCCCAGTGCTGCTCGTGGCTCCGCTCTGGACAAACCAGACTTGGTTCCCAGTCCTGATGCAGCTGACCAGCACTGCCCCGTGGCCTGCACCACTGAGGAGAGACCTCCTCTCTCAGGCAGGGGGCTCGATTTGGCATCCTCGCCCGGATCTGTGGTCCCTACACGCATGGGCCATCAACGAGTGTTCTCTGCTTGGTGTCAAGCTCAGGGCTTTTCACCCGTAGACTGCGGGGTTACGGAAGTGCTTTCCTTCCTTCAAGAGCTGCTGGATAAGGGCAGAACCCCATCCACGCTCAAAGTATGCGTGGCGGCCATAGCAACGTTTGCAAAACCGGTGTCTGGCCAGTCACTGGGGAAGAACGACTTAGTCGTGCGTTTCCTCAGGGGAGCTCAGAGATTGAACCCTCCCAGGCCCCCTTCAGTCCTGATGTGGGACCTTTTCACGGTTTTGGAAGCCATGAAAGGTGCCCCATTCGAGCCAATCCATTTGTCAGACATGAAACATCTGTCTTTCAAAACGGTGTTTCTTATGGCTCCCGCTTCAGTGAAGCGCGTAGGGGACTTACAAGCGCTTTCAGTAAGCGCATTGTGTATGGAGTTTGGGCCTAAATGACTCAAAGGTCATACTCAAACCTAAGCACGGGTACGTGCCAAAATCCCTCAACACACCGTTTAGGGCCCAGGTGATTTCCCTGTCCGCCCTTCCGGTTCTCAATGAGGAGAAGGACACGAGTCTCCTTTGCCCTGTCAGGGCACTAAGAGCTTATGTGTCCCGCTCGTCTGGTTTTAGACAGACTGAGTAGACTGTAGGCATGGTCTAGCGGGATTACCCTGCAAGATATCTGTACGGCCGCGGGCTGGGTCTCGCCGTCTACATTTATAAAATACTATAACCTGGAGGTTCCCGCCTTACAAGCTAAGCTTTTGGCGGTCTAGAATTCAGTGCTATCTGCCCCGCTGTGCCGGCCCAGATGCTGAGTTTGGCCTGCGTATCGCTCACTGACCGATACAGCAGCTCCAAGAGTGTTGACACACGTATGGCCACCCAGTTTAGGTTGACAGTTTTCACCCTGGCTGTGTGGTATAATATTTATATGATTAGCTCCTCTGGATGCTAAGGAATGATGCTTCTAGCCCCTCTTCCTTCACTCTCTGTGAGTCTGGTGATTATGCACTACATGCGCCCCGGGCTTCTGCCCTTGGGACTTTGGTGTTGGATCCCTGTATGCACGGCGTGTTACACTGTGTTCCCCATAGCGTAAGATATTACGCAGTACGAGAGATACTCTCGTAAGAGAACGTACTCGGTTACTAACGTAACCTCTGTTCTCTCTAGAGAGGGAACGAGTACTGCGTATCTTGCCGTGCTTAAACTACGCTCTGGTTCGCTTCAGCGATGAAAACCAGTTTGTATCAGCCTATCGACCTGCTTTTATAGGGCGAGACCACGCCCTTTCTGGCGGGACGTGACAAAGTGGGCGCGAAGTGCCCCCATTGGTCATGATGTCACGCAGAGCCGCTCTCGATAGGCTGCTGCTTTTGCCGCAGGGCAGCCAATAGGCGCGCGAGCTGCCTCGACTATGTCTGCTTGCTGCCGCAAAGAGTTTTACATTGATTAAAAATTAAGGATAATTTTTGGCTTCAATATCTCGTGGAAAAGAGGTTTTCCTAGCGTAAGATATTACGCAGTACTCGTTCCCTCTCTAGAGAGAACAGAGGTTACGTTGGTAACCGAGTACGTTTTTGGCGATCATTTTATCGTTATTCCTTTTTGAACAAGAATGAAGAGAGTCGGTCTGTGTATCTTTTGGTCATTTGATTTCCTGTTTGGAATGGAATAACGAGAAATGAAACCAGCTCGTTTATTCGTTTTTTTTTTGTTTTGTTTTTACGAAAAATTTCATTTTGGCTCGATTTTTCATCTTTCGTTTGTGGTTTACAAATCGGTTTACGGGTTCGATATTTCATTTGCACACGTGGGCGGCGCTGAAACGCCCCTTTCATCTGATTGGTCAAACCGCACCGCCGAGCTTTTCTTTCTGTCAGGCAGAAGAGTCATGAGTGCGGCACTGACAAATGCACTTTAATAAAATAATGTCTGAAACCACCACTCACTGTTAACTACGCACAATATTTAAAGCAGAAATATGTTGGTCACGTAACTCGTGCTGCTGCGACTTGATTTCGACCCCAGTAATGTGAGACACAGTAGGGCTACATATGACAGATTATTTTAGCATGATGTATTTCCCATTGATAAATACAGTGCAAATAGTTCCGTCTCTTTGGATAAAAGGGAAGTGGAAATAAAAATCAACAATAGGCTGAACTGTAACATGATAATATGTTCATAACATTTACCACTCTCCTCTTTTATTTACATCAAAAGGTGTGTGTGTGACACAGTATAGGCCTAAATAATTTTGAAAATTGAATAGAAATAAAGTTTATATTTATAAATGTAAGCATGTGTAGCCTACTCAGTTCACAGGAAAAGAATGAGACAGAAAAGAGAGAAGCTAGAATCAGTGAACGTACAGAACGTACTTACAAAATTAGCAGGGTTTGGGATTAAAATCATGTCAGTTGAAGAGCATGGCATATCTTTAAAATGTTATTAGTTTTATTATAAAACTAATAATTTTATTACATACTGAATTGGTCGATGTTTCTCTGAGTTCTGTTTATTATGTTGGCTATGAGATATTATGTATTTCTAAAAACAAGCAAAAGGATCATTATTAGAACCAAAATCATTGAGAAGAACCAGAATCGGAAGTTCGGAACAAAAATCGATTTGCATCTTTCCACAGCAATCATGCACAATAACATCCTCAGCCTGAGATTGCAACAATGATGTAAGTAGGAGGATGTTAAACTCGGCACAGACAGTTGATGCTCTTTCCTCTCTTGATGTTTTTTTTTTTTTTTTTTTTTTGCATGAACAACAATAACATAACATGAACAAAAACAAAAAAAACATAGAAACATAAAAATGCCAGGGTTAAAGATACACAGATATACAATACAAAAATTGAATGAAGCAAAACTAAATGGACCAAACAAACAATAAAAGACTTTGACATTTCACAAAATCTGAAAAGTATTCAACAAATACATGGTTTTAACAGCTTTTTTGTTTGTACTATCCTTAATGGAAGCCATATAATTTTCTAATTCTTTCAATAGTACAGAAAAAAAAGGTTTCTGATTAGTAAATTTACACCGATGAATATGAAACTTAACTAAAATAATCAAAAGATTAATAATATACGCTTCCTTTTCCATACTCTTTTCATATTGTAAAAAAACAAATATTACATGTTCGTATAGCAAAAGAAAATTACATCCCAATTTGTTATTTATAAATTTAGAAACTTCCCACCACAACCTTTTGGTGTATTGACAGTGCCAAAAAATATGAGGTACAGTTTCTGGTTGCAAAAAACAAAATGAACAATTTACATCTATGTCTTTGTTAAATTTGGATAGAAAATGCTTAGCAGGGTAAAAATTTATGCAGTATCTTAAATGAAATTTCCTTGACCTTATTTGTAATAATATATTTATTAGGTAACAACCAGACCTTATTCCAATTAATATTTCCAATAAACCTTGACCAATAGGAAATCACATATGGTTTACTGACTAGCTCTTTTTGAAAAAAGGAACGTATAGCCTTATTATTTTTGCTTGTCGAAAAACAAACTTTACCACAAATCGTATCAGCTAGATGCAATAAAGACATACGTTTAGAGTATGTAATACCTCTCCATAAAGAGACAACACCCGAAGAAATAGCACCAATTACAGAGGCAAATTCTTTAGGGGAAACAGGGAAGTTGACGTATGAAAGAAACTCATCATAAGTCATTAAATACCCCTGATAATTCAACAACTGTCCAACCACAAGAATGCCCTCATCAAACCAAGTTTTCGAAAATATACTCTTATGTTTGTACAAAATATTACCATTATTCCAGATGTAATTCCTCTCTTGATGTGTTACCTGGTGGGCGAGAGCCAGTGACGTCACGTCCCCGTTACGAGCTGAGCTCGATCTTCCTCGCGCTGCATTCGGAGCCACTCGTTTAAACAAGGGCATTAAAACGCATCTAAACCACGCGAGCCCGACATCATCAACATCGGATCAAATAGGAAAACTAAAGATGCTCCAATCCCTCGCCGGTAATTCGTGTGTGCGCTTGATACAGAGCAACAAATCGGCATGGTATTTTCTGTTTCTGGTGCTCGGCTATATTCTATATCTCATATTCGGTGCGGTGGTGTTCTCCTCTGTGGAGCTGCCGTATGAAGACCTCCTGCGCCAGCAGCTCAGAGAGATCAAAGGACAGTTCCTCAAGGACCACGAATGCCTCTCCCAGGAGCGGCTGGAGAGGTTTCTATCCAAAGCGTTGGAGGCCAGCAACTATGGGGTGTCTATTCTCAACAACGCATCGGCCAGTTGGAACTGGGACTTCACGTCGTCTTTGTTTTTTGCAAGCACTGTCTTATCAACCACAGGTGAGAGCAATGCGGATAAAGTCATAAAGTTATATGACTGCATGACACAACTAACCCGCATCCCTGTAATTCATGATTTTTAATGGTGCACACCATTTGATGATTCTATTTGCAATTACCCATATTTATCTTAAAGGCTTCAGCAAGGCATTAATATCAACAACAACACACAATACAGTCATCTCATTTGTCTTTTCGAATAAGTTTAATCCACTTCTGATAATAACAGAGAAGATCTTTTGTAGCCTTCTTGTTTTTCTCCATTTTCTTTGTCCCTTCGAGAGGCTGTCTCGTCTGTCATTTAACACCTGCCTTAACGCAGAAATGTTACCTCAGACAGGTATCCAATTCTCAAACGGGCATGAAACAGACAACAACTTTATAGAAGATCTCTACAATTTGGTCTTCTTCAGATTGTGAACTAGGCCTACAGAAATGGGCCTGCATGCTCACATACAGAGAAGAGGAAGACATGCAGATAACGATTTTTAGTTTCTGTTCTATAGAAGTGTTTCCCAGACATAAGAAAACGTTAAATGAAAACAACCCCTCTTCTCTCATTATGAAACTTGCCATTCATCATAACAAGCCTCAGCATGTACAACTATCCAATCCAGTATGAAAGACCATATCTTTTTTAACCCTGTAAAGACTGACATATTAAATAAATATTAATTATGAATAAAATGATAAATTATTGAGCAAAAATATGCAACTTGGTGCAGATGTTTTTATTTAAATGGCTAAAAAGTAATATGAATTTTTGAGTTTGTAATGAAAATCAAGTCTGTGTGTAAATATCAGTTATCAAATATCTCACAATAATATATCTTAGTAAGATGATATGTAAATGCTTTTATGATCAGAGCTCTGTAGTTTTAATCATGGTGGGCAAATCATATAATGCAGTGAAATACAATGAATAAACATTTCTCAAAAGCCTGATGTATAATTTTTAACATGATTTTTCACCAAAAAAAAGTATGGATAATCAAGTAAATCTAAGTTGCTTCAGTCCAGTAAATGTTCATCTTATTAATTTCAAAAGTAATAACAATATCAAAGTTATTATATTTACGAAATCATTCAAGATTTCATAGCAAAAAGACACGTCTACCACAACCACATATTTAGAATTATACTAAAAGGCCATTTACTTACTAAAATGTATGAACTATTAATCAGAGGGTAGAAGGCATGTAGTATATTGTGTACAACAGGTTTTTTTTTAGCAAAGTTTTGATCATTCTGATAAGTTAAGCACTGCTCTAGAAAACACCACCAGGTTAACACATGGATTCAACAAAGCCCACAATTACCACTTAAATTTGGTGTTTGTTAGCATTTGTTGGGGAAGTGCTCTAGCTTATAAAACCCCATTTCCAGAAAAGTTAGGACATTTTGTAAAATGCAACAAAATCTGTGAATCTGTAATTTTGTTCATTCTCTTGAACCTTTATTTAACTGGCAAAAGTACAAAGATTACAACAACAACAAAAATCCAATGTTTTCACTGACAAACGCTGCAACACACTCCAAAAAAGTTGGGACAGAGGCAAAATAAAAGTAAAATGATTATAGAATAATATCCAGGTTAAACCGTTTCAAACCGTCCACAAAGGCATGTGAATTGGTAATAAGTGAGGTTATAAGTGATTAGTGGTATAAAAGGAGCATCTCAGTCTTTGCAAGCAAATATGAGTCATGACCACTTTGTTCCAAATTTCATGAGAGAATTGCCAAACAATCCAAGTCACATTTCTCAGTGCCAGATTGCAAAGAATTTGGGTCTTTCGCCATCCACCATACATAATTTTATGAAAAGATTCAGGATATCCAGAGAAATCTCAGTCCATGTGGGGGCAAGGCAGGAAATGTGCGTGACCTTTGAGCCCTCAGATGTCATTGCATGAGAAACCAAACCATCATGCTACTGTGTTAAAAATTGCCACGTGGGCTCTGGAGTAGGCTACTTTGGAAAACCGTTGTCACTTAACAAAGTATACTGGTGCATCAAGAAATGCAACTTGAATCACTGTTGCGCAAGAAGAAATACATCAATTCTGTGCAGAGATGCCGCTGACATCTGTCATGGAATGGGGGTGCATCAGTGCAAACGGTATGAGTGACTTGAAAATGTGTGAAAGATTGTACAGAGACATAGATGTGTGCTTATAGAAATAACCATCAAGATGAGGTCTTTTCTGGGAAGCAAGACAATGCCTGGCCTCATTCTGCACTTGCTAGACACTACACTGTACAGTGGAGGTGCTTGACTGGCTGCCTGAAGTCCAGATCTGTCTCTTAGTGAAAATGTATGACCCATCATGAAAAGGAGAATCAGACGACGTCCACGGACTGTTGAGCAGCTGTCGTGTATCTGGCAAGATTGGGTAAAAATTCCACTGGCAAAACTGCAACAATTCGTATCCTTAATTCCCAAGTGTTTAAAAAGTTCAATTAAAAGGAAAGGTTACGTGACACAGTGGTAAACTTGCCTCTGGCCCAACTGTTTTGGAGTGTGTTGCAGCCATCAAAATCGAAATTTGTTTATAATTACAAAATACAATTAAGTTGGTCAGTGAAAACATTGGAAATCTTTTCTTTGTACTTCTGTCAGTTAAATAAAGGTTCAAGAGAATTAACAAATCACAAATTCTTGATTTTATTAATTTATTGCATTTTACAAAATGTTAAAAAAAAATTCTGGATATGGGGTTGTATCAGTAAAAGCACTGTCTTGATTTACCAGGAAAAAAAGTTTTTCAACCATTTTATTATTAACAAAGACATTCAATATCTAGTTCCCCTTTCCCTGTATGTATGTTGCACAAAATATAGTTTCACATCTTCTTTCTTTTTATCTAAAAAAGGAAATTTGAACAAGGCGGTTTGATATAGAGCGGAATAAGGCCATAGAAGTAACCACATTTTTTTTACCTGATTTGGCAGTCATCACATAAAAGACATCATGTTCTCCAGAATGCACTGTGAGAGTCGCACGCGTAATGTATTTGAATTTCCGCGTCTGACCAGAAGATGGCGCCCGCTGGTCCAATACAGCGTAAAATCATCATATAAATTCCTTTTTAATTGATTATTAAATTGTTTCATTAAGGTTTTATAGATGGTTTCCATGACAGAGTTCAAGAGTTTGGGCATAAACTTAATCACTAGAATCACTAGAAATTGTTCTTTGGTCATTTCCTTTTCAAAGTGGCATTTATGTCCTTGCTTCCGTATTAATTGACTGCTCTGTAACGCGAATCCTTCTAGCACGGTTGTGTCTGAGGCGCGAGGCATTCAGAGAGACCCTGCAAACTAACCTGATTGTTGATGCCCATAATGTGAGATTGTCCATTAGTTGTGAGCTCTAGGGAGGCATCAAACTGCTGAGGGCAGAAATGAGAGCAATATAATCTGTTTATTTCAGGGACACACACACAGAAATGAAATTACAGTGCCTGACTGAATGATTCATTCGTTGATAATCCAGGATGGGACTTAATCTATGTGTTAATCTGTGTCTGGCGATGGCTGTGAGACAGTATGGTTTTGTTTTCAGTGATAAGAATAGAGTGTGCTAATCTGCTAGTGTCCAGAAGGAAACGTTTTCAGTAAGTAAATGGGAATGTTTAATGTGTAATTTCCACCTTATAATTCACAGGATATGGTCACACTGCTCCTCTCTCTGATGGTGGGAAGGCTTTCTGCATCATTTACTCTGTGATTGGCATCCCTTTCACCCTCCTCTTCCTCACGGCTGTGGTGCAAAGGATCATGGTCTATAGCACATGGCGGCCCGTTATGTACGTGCATATGCGCTGGGGTCTGTCTAAACCCCTGGTGGCCCTCGTACATGCAACCATGCTGGCTGTCGTGGCTGTGTCCTCTTTCTTCCTCATCCCTGCGGCCATCTTCTCTGGCCTAGAAGAGAACTGGAACTTTCTGGAATCCTTCTACTTCTGCTTTATCTCGCTCTCCACCATCGGTCTGGGTGACTATGTGCCTGGAGAGGCCTTCAACCAGAAGTTTCGTGAGCTCTACAAACTGGGCATCACTGGTAGGTGTGGTTTCTTTGTGCTTTGTTTTGTTTTGGGTCAGAGCTGCACGATTTTGGATGAATTGAGAATCACAATTTTTTTTGTTTCAAACTGAGATCACGATTCTCGCACGATTCTGAACAGATAACTAAACAAATAACAGGAAATTTACATGAGGTTCTGACAAAATGTTAATTGCTGCAGTCTATTTAAAACGTTGAAATAATCGGAATGTTTTTTTGTTTGTTTTTTTGAGTGAATGATTCAATGACTCACCCATAAATACTTCACTTGTTTCATTCCTGGATGAATCAACGTTTTTGAACAAGTCTCTTAAATGAATGATTCAATGACAAATACATTTTTTAACAGTCACTTGTCGCCAACTACTGGTGTAATGATGTAATCGATACAATCGTTATTTGAAGCGTCAAGTTATTTTCAAAAGGTGATTTGCTCTATTTTGATCACTTCCGTAGACATCAGTGTTTATATTCAAACTTTAATATAAACTTTTATCCAGTAAGCCTACTTCTTTGGTAATATGAATATTTGTAACAGAAATAACGAGACAGTTTGTGAAGTTCGTTTATTTCACGAAAATTATGAAAATCCCTGTTGATGCAGCCGCGTTTCCATTACAGATTTGCGCAAAACTTGCGATATTTTCTAAATGTCGATAAAAAACTATTGAGAAAAGATGGCGTTTCCATTAACCGATGTTATGTGACTAAAACTTTTTATCGAAGGAGACGTAGGCATGTTATCCAAGCATTAATGGCAACGAAAGCCCCTTATACTTATAATACGAAAGCCACGTATGAGGTGTTTCTGGGTGTTTCTCCCTCATATCTGCTTCAAGGTCTTGATTAATTGTGGCATTTCTTTGTTGTTTAGAATCCAGTATTACCGTAATTCTTTTATCCTTTATGATTTTAATAAAGAACTCTGTCTCGTCTTCTGTCCAAATATATCACGTCATCTTTGATCACCAATGATCGACTTTTACGTAGGCGCCATGACCTGTAAATGCGGAAAAAGTTTCCATTGCAGTTTTGTGAAATATTCCTTTTTCAAATTGCCTGAAAAAATACCTCATGTGAGCGTAAAAACGTTTTTTGCGATATATGGGAGTTTTTGCGAAAATTAAAGTGTTTCCATTGGGCGCAATTTCAATTTGCGCAATTTAAAGGGTAAATGGAAACACATGTGGATTTTTGTCAGAATGCAAAAGATAAAGGATTTAAACTTGACTGAAAGCCTTGAATATGTAAGGAGTAATTGACGACGGGCCGTCGCGGACTGGCCGTTACACCTCGGGTGTGCATTATTTTTCAATAATTCAATGTCCCGAAATCAATTATTCTGCTTATACTACGGTTGCCACACCTCAAAACATTGTTCCGATGATGTAGCCTATTTCAAGACAATTTTTGTGGCAAAAAAACATGGAAATAATTTGTCGTTTTTATCCTGTTGTTTACTACATTTATTTTCTTGGTTAGTGTCATTGTGGGTTTTGGTTCTTTTGCTGTTGTCTGTTGTAAGGACCTTTGAAATAACTGAAATCATTTGGCAAGGTGATATTGAACTGTAATTTAACTTAGCTGTGCGTTTCCCTGAAAATAATTGCACACCTTAAAACATTTGTCACCCAATCAGATTCAAGCTGCCCCTCAGTAGAAATATTTATAAGTGTGTATTGAAAAAAACTCTAAAAAGTCTCAGAAATACTGACTTGAATAACAAATGTCAATAGTAAGCACGTTCTGTGGTATTTTTGTAATGTAAACTGATTTTATGTTCTAGTTGTAGTTTTTGGTTACTAAAATGTTAACATTGTGGTCGAATTTATTGGCCCTTATATTTTCTTAAGACTTTTTTTTCTCATAGTGACGTATTTTATTGAGTAAACGCTTGTCGATTCAGTTCCTCCTCTCGTAAGTGAAACTGCATAATATGCAAGTAAAAATACTCCGCTTACTTCCTTTTGTATACCTAAACATCTTCATGTGTAAGTCTGGCCTGTTGTCATAGGAACAGATGGAAGGTAAAAGGAAGTGCATGTCAAATCGTTCTTCCACTGCTGCTCTTCTGCTCCATCTAGTGTTTGTATTACTTAAGAAGCAGTACAGCTCTCCTTTTTTTTAAAGTTGCATGAAAATCCCACATGGCTTGCGTACTTGTGTGGGTTTAGTTGATGCAGATGGCCCCATCCTTCTATTCTGTATGTGGGAGTCGGTGAGAAAGGTCCACATTTGCTGTCCTAGCGTAATTGTGGAGGAGGATATGGCATTTGTGAGGCCCACACATGCTGAGTTGGCTTGAAGTCTCATATTTCTTTTGCTCTGACTCTGCAGTCTAAAAGCATTTTATTCATGATCCTTGAGTTGGCATATAAACACCTTTCCTTTAAAGTTAACGCAACATATTTTGCAACCTATTTTATGTAGCATTTTGTAATGTGATGTATTTTTTTATGAAGAAATTTAGAACAGGACTTAACTTTAGGCCTATCCATCAAAAATCGGATTGTGAAAATGGGCATTATATGCCATACTTTAAGGGTTATTCACCCAAAAATCCAAAATTCTGTCATTAATTACTCACCCTCATGTCGTTCCAAACCACAAATGAAGATCTTTTTTAAGAAATCTGAAAGCTTTCTGTCCCACCAAAGACAGCTACGCAACTATCAATTTTACGCTTCAAAAGGTTCATAGAGATCGTAAAACTAATCCAGATGAATTGAGCGGTTTAGTCCAAATTTTCTGATGAGACTTGATCGCTTTATATGATGAACAGATTGAATTTAGGCTTTTATTCACATATAAACGTTCATCAACCCGCACATCAGTTATGGTAAACGGAAGCTCAAGAATGTTCTCTTGACTGTTCATTCTCTCGTGTTACGCAGCACGTTTGAGCTTCTACAAGAACCAATGAGATTATTTCTTGCGCAACAACCAAGGTTTGGTTGAGCTTCTGTTTATGAGCTTCAATGTTTAAATGTGAATAAAAGCCTAAATTTAATCTCATATAAAGCGATCGAGTATCGCCAGAAAATTTGGCCTAAACCTCTCAATTCATATGGATTAGTTTTATGATCTCTTTATGAACTTTGAAGCGTCAAAGTGGTAGATGTGTAGCTGTAACGAAAGTCATACAGGTAAATGAATTTTTGTAATTATTTGTAATTATGATTAACACAAAATAGTTAGGGGAAATACACGTTTGACAAGTTGTTGTATTGTTTTGTATGATTTTCGATACCTAAAGGCAGAATATAAGATGAAAAAGTTCGTTATTTTCAGTACTCACTTAAAACTGCTCCTCCGCCCAAACGGATCGCTTGACGTCATAAGAGAGAGACGTCTCCCAGGGCGCTGAGAAAGCGAGTTTGTGAGCTGTGTTGATAATTGTACGAGTGATAGAGCGAGAGAATGAGTGATTAGGACATTTATTTATTTAGTTAGGTATTTAAGTTAGGTAGTTAGTTAGGTATACGCAGGCGTATTTTCACAATGGTGAATTACTGCGTTTGTGCTGGGTGCTAAAACACAGTTAAAACCGGTCACAGAGTCCACTTTTTCCCCAAAAAGCAGGTCTGTGTTCCGTGCCTGGGTCAACTTTGTTCGCGCAAACCAAACGCGCTGACATCAGTGCTGCTTCGGTATCCAAGACTTCGGTCATTTGCAGCGCACATTTCTTCCAGTTTTTATGTTTCCACTGTTCGATCGCGCCCGCGTCTCTCTCTCGTCTCTCTCTCTCTCGCGTCTCTCTCTCTCTCTCACACCAACACCAACAGCCCGCGTATCTAACAGTAGTTCCGCATTAATTATTTTGCACGCGAGTTTTATTTATTTTTATACTCGTGTATTCATGCACCGAACCGTGACGCCCGTACCGTTTCGGTTCAATACGAATACATGTACCGTTCCACTTCTAAGTTATGATATACACCTGCCCAACTCTCCACTGGTTATCTTCACCAGATATTTATGTTTCTTAGATAGGAATTATTTAAATTTCTGTTTGCCTCCTCATCTGTCTCACGCCTGGGAGGCTCAAAAGTGTATGGCTGTGGGACTCAGACTCAAAACTCTCCATACTTGAATAGAACGTTTGTGGAACGTCTCCCTCTTCTGACGTCACAGCTCAGCTGTGTTTTAAAAATATGATCTTGACAGAAATGGCTATAAAGCTTACTGTAGGGTAATTACAGTTATAATTTTAATGATAATTACATTTTCACTCAGACATCTAACCCTTATTTAATATATCTAAAAAAAAAATGTAACCTGACATAGACACTTTAAGCTAGGTGGTTGGAAGGGGTGTAGCAAGTAAAGCAATTTTTATAAAAGAATATAAAGACATTTTTAATATCAGATGTTGCAGTGTCCATTTGTAACTTCTTGCCAGACTGGATAAAACTCCTTTCAGGCTACAATGAAGCAAGAAACACACACAGACATGTAGCGCAGACAGAGAAATGTTTGAGGTGAAACACACCATTAAACTCAAAAGTTTGCATAAACTCGGTGAAAAGTTTACATTCCTTCATCTCTCCATCTCTCTCCCCTTTGTGTTCCACAGTGTATCTCCTCCTCGGTCTGATTGCCATGCTGGTGGTGTTGGAGACCTTCTGTGAGCTGCAGCAGTTGAAGCAGCTGAGGAAGATGTTTTATCTGAAGAAGGAGAAGCCCCAGGATCGCCTGGCCATCATGGAACATGACCACCTGGCTTTTACCTCCATGCCAGACGGTACCATCAACTCGCCCCAGGAAGATAAAACCGAGCCCTTTGTGGACTTCCCTGTCCTAACCTCTCCGGGAGGTGATGACCCCATGATCAAATAGATGTTTTAGCTTCCATCAACATAACCTTCAATCGAGGAAGACATCTTTAGCCGAGGGTTCTCGCAACTGACTGTGAAAATGTGAAAATTACTTGAATATATCACTTGAGATTCTGCGGATTTAACAGCCCTCTACAAAACGATGCCAATATGGCTTCCGCTCAGTGTGCTTACTGAATATCTGCAAATGATCATAAGCACACTTAGGCCTAGCCCATAAAAACCCGGGAACTAGATTAAAAAGCATACATAATTGCACTCTAAAATCTAGTATGTACTTGCCTATTGAGATTGTCCAAATGGTAGAAATAACCCCGACGGCATTTAATCTTGATTACCACAAAAAACTTTTTTTTAAGAAAGCAAAAATGTGGGTTTCAGTGAGGCACTTACAATGGACGTGAATGGGGCCAATTCGTAAACACTAAAATACTACATTAATACTATATAAAATATTCTATCATTGTGGACAACAAAAAAAAAGTTTTTTTCAATGGGAACCAAAACTGTTTGGTTATCAACATTCTTCGAAATCTCTATTGTTGTGTTCAGCAGAAGAAAGAAATGCAACTTGAGGGTGAATAAATGACAGAATTTTTATTTTTGGGTGGACTATCACTTTAATTTTTTAAACATTGGACCCATTTACTATAATAGTAAGACCCTTATTGTAGCCTCAATTGTTATTGAATACATAGCTTTACTTGTATTGCACCTGGAATATTATTTTAAAGTCCAATTTCTTTCAAAAATAGACTAAATCGTAAAGCACTCTTGCCCTGATCTAAACTTCGAATAAAGACCACTGTCAATTGTTGGAATGGAGACCTGTCATCAAACATAGTAGTTGCACATCTATCATCTGTTAAGTGTTATTTCAGACTCATGTGATCTACCTTGTGAGTTTGCTAACAGTAAGATAAAATGATCTTCTACAAGTGGCTAACGAAAATATTCTAGTAATCTCATGAAGCTGCATTGCTCTAATGCATTAAAATGTTAAGACTATGATGCACTATAATGCAGCATATACTGTAGCATAAATCGGTGTACAGGCGCAAAAAACTGTTTGTATGCTTAGAGGGGAGTCATTACACGTTTTAGATGACAGTTGAAAATGAAACATTTACCTTAAAGAAGAGTTTAAAGGTGTTTTAAAGGGGGGAAAAACATGCCATACTGTATTCTTTTCTTGATACAGTGAAGAAAGTGATATTTTACCTTGGTCTCAATGTTATGACGCTTGATAGAGCAAGTCAATCTCAGTTTACATGGATTTTTTTAATCCAAGGTCGAATAATGGCTGGTTCCATGTGTCTCTGTCTTGAGCTACTGAGATCCAGCACAATGGCCCTCATTTATCAAAAGTGCGTACACCAAATTTCCAGCGTACACCTGGCGTACACCCAAAACCACGGTGACTTTGAAATTTATCAATATGGACGTTGGCGTATGGCACACTCAAATCCTACGCCAGCTCAGGAGGTGGTGTACGCACGTTTTGAGTTAGTGCGGAAATGCGCAGAAAAACAATTCCTAACACCACAAAACGCACTGACAAACTAAAAGATATGATATATTATGACCCACTGTAAAACAAAAAAACAAAAACATAGTAATTATTTACTTCAGTGTTTATTTTTGTGCAACATGGACTTCAATGTTTAATTTGTGTGACTTTACCAAAGCATTTGATTTATAAGCGTATTCCTTCAGTTGCGAGCCTGTGCGCTTTACCCTGACGTTCCATGGTTAGGATCGGCAGGTGCGCACGGACTGAGTTCGGTAACGAAAGGCTTTCAATGACCAACAAATAATTCAGACTGACAAAATAATAAAAAATACATTCTTCTTCTTTTAAATAATAATAATAATACAAATAATAATAATGACATTCTTCTTCTAAATAACAATAAGCGTCATTAATAATACAAATCATACTAATAATAAGAAGCATATTACAAATTGTCATGCAATTATTAATGTGAATGAATGGTAGGCCTACTCCACATCACATCATCATCATCACTATTGTACACACCAATACATGTAACGTGATTCGAAATTGAATACTAATTCAGAAGACGTGCTGTAAAATATTGCATTGTGATAGGTCATTTCGCCTCCACGTCAGAGAAGTTTCTCTTCTTTGCCGTCTTCCGTGTGTCCATGGCGTAAAATCAGGGCGTGGGGGAAGCGGAGACTTGAATATATAGGGGCGTGTTATTCTAATGACGATCGTTTTTAGCCGCGGGATTTATCAAGGGCAGGTATTGCGTACACCTGGATTTCAAAGGTACGCACAGCTTCATAAATCAGGCGGTGAGAGGAGTGTAAGCATAATCTTACGCCAACATATACGCTTGTTTCTACGCAAGAATGATAAATGAGGGCCAATGTCTTTACATACCAAAAATGTTTGACGAAAGTCTAGGATTTCTGAAGTTTGGTTCAGTATCATCGACTAATTGACTGTATAAAACTTAGATAATTCAGATCTATAACTGAACTGTTTGCATTCTAAACAATTTTGTGGCTATTTAATAAACATAAAATAATAAATTCTATTTTTGAAACAAGCTTGAAGTGTCGTTTACAACAGAATGCATGTGTTTGTATTATGAGAATGAATGTTGTAGGCACAGACTGATGACTACTGTTTAAGGTCCCGTTGGAAGATCACAGTGTACAGCAGATGTGTTGTCACTATCACCACAGTAGAATGTCATACATTTTTATCACAATAGAATAAAAGCTGAATGTTTTAAGGACTCATTTTAACAGCTGTTTTGTCTGACTGTAGGGATTATTTACAGATAGTGCTGTTTTTATATTAATAAACATGCTGAATCCGAGCTCAGGCCATGGGAACTTGAATGTGCTGATGTGACATATTTATTGTGTGAATAAGGAAATGCTTTGTGATGTCAGTGCTGGATTCTTTGTGCTTATTTGCCCTTGGTGTTTTGCTGCAGAGCCTCTGTATGATCAGCTACAGTGTTTTAACATTGAATCAGTGCAGCATAAAATCATGTATGTATTAGTTATTGATTTGTTTTTTATTGGTGTATCAGTAGTACGTTTAGAAATGCACAAGGGCATACAGTCTTGTTCTCTGTTTAGATGTGTGTGAAATACTGGTGAATATGTTGTCATTTCCATAAATAAAAATCCTGACTGGATTAATAGCCTTGCAAACATTTATTTTTTAGGGAAAAGTAATCACCATTACCAATCCTTTTAAATGTTCAAAATGACCAGAAAATCAGTGCAAGAAAAAAGTAAATTATATATATATTAGTGCTGCTGTCAAAATTAACGCATTAAACGTTATCCTCGCAAGCACAATTAATTTAAACGAACTCTTAAATGTACGTGAACAGTTAGGGTGAAAAAATTGGATGTCAGATCCGAGTCATGTGCGTCAGGTCTTAAAATGACAGCATAATGCTAATCAAATAACAAAATCACGCACTGCTTTTAAAGCTTTAAGTAGGATTAATCTAGATTTCATTTATAATTTATGCTGTGAAAACTGAAGTGTTTGATATCTTTATTTAATTTCTGTATCCTACCTGTTAGACCTACCTAAAAATCTTAAAGCACAACAGTATTATTTACAAGGTTATATGGATCAAAAATAACTTTGTGCATTTTGACAGTGAAAGTAAAAATCTGAACCCGGCTGACTGGGCCAATATTAAAATTTGAGCCCTGATATTTTGAAAGCACAGGTAAACGTAGCATTTATTTATAATGGGTTTATGTGAAAATTGTTCACTTAAATTAAGTTATATACCTTTTTAAAGAATAGCTTTCTATTATACTGTAATGTTGAATGCCTATAATTAATGGGTTAAAAAAAAAATCAGTTTCAGGAGAAATAGTGGTATCAGTGATGCTTTCTTTCATAAAAAAAGATGCCATTAAACAATGTGCAATTAATAAAACTTATTGATTGATCGCATTAAATATACAATTTATATATATAAACACACAATATTGTTGTATTTCATGCTCTGGTGTTTAAGACTTCGGTATCTAATAGAAAGCCATCTTTAAATTGTTTTTTGTGAGTGCAATTGAAATACAATTATTTTGTTAAAAAAAGAAAAAAGCCAAGCCCGGATTAACCGGAAGTCTTAAATAAAATGTGTGACTCATAGATTGAGAAAAATACAATAAAATGAGGAAGTGGGGTGACATTTTTAAACGCACAAAAAAAGTAAGAAGATATAAAGTACTATTGAAGCGGTCATTTAAAAAAACCTTCCAATGGAACTTGGAAGGAACTTAAGTTAAAAATAGACTTAAGGATATAGCACTTAGCTGCTTTTAACCTATTCTGTCTGTTACCACAATCATTAACAGATTTAAGCATTGACATACACTTTTATAAGGCAATATATTTTAGATAAAGCAGTGATGCGAGGAAATAGAGCTAATGGGGACCCAGGTTCAAGTTCACATCTAACAATTGCAATATTAAGAGTCAAAACAAAGGTTTGTACTTTCATTCTTTTTTTATTAGGATTATTTATTAAAAATCCTTACAACAAATACAAATAACGAACCAACACAAATAATGAACACAAAGGGCAAAGTGCATTAAAAACCATGCTTTTGCAATTTTAACAGCAGCTCATCACACAGATCTGAGACATCTTTGACTTCTTTAGCCTGAGAATAGAAAATAGAAAATGTCAACAACAAAAACAAGGCAATAAAAACAATATAGATGTTAAACACAAAGTAAATCAGCCCTACACCTATAAGAATCTGCTGTACCACCACTGCAAGAGTGACATCCCTTGTGTGCGCTTATGTACCTTTTGTTCCAGATCCCTCTCTAAGGACTGAATTTTCAGCTGGTCTCTCTTGAACTGCACCTGCAGTGTTGCCACCTCTGCGCCCTGTTTAGTGCGAACCTCGGATATGGCCTTATTTGCTCTGAAACAGTGGCATTGGCGAGACTTTTTAGCCGATACTTATTAATCGATCCAGGTTTACTGTACTATTACGTTCATAAGAAAGGACATATTTCAGACTGTTTGAAGAGCACATACTGATCTAGTTTCTCCTCAGCATGGGCCTTCAGAGCTTGATAACGCTTTTCCTCTTTCTGCAGTCTGTCCATGCAGTTCTGAGCGTACTGCTTTAGCGTCTCCTCATTCTATAGAACAGAAGGGGAAAAAAATTACCGTTATACACTAGCAAACTTAATCCCAAATCAAGATGTTATTTTAGTCTTGTTGCAGAAGTCTCAGTGTACCTTTCTGAATCCCTCAATAACTTCCTTGCATCTGTCAAGACGTTTGACAACAGAGGAGAAGGATTGCTCCATTTCATTCAAATCTTTAGACAGCTGATCTTTTTCCTGAAGGACTCGCTCCAACTCAATTTTTGCAAAGTCTTCCTTCTGTTTATGCTCATCTGGAAACACATGTGTTTTAATATCCAACATACTCCCTACAAATAATGTACTTAATCAAAAAAATCTGGTCACACCTGTGATTTGAGTGATGGTGGCCTCAAATTCGGACACTATGAACCTGAGAAGAGGAGGAAGAGTGTATGTGTGAGATTGGTGCACTGTTCAAATGTCAATAATTCATTATGGATTTCACACTTTTTGATTGATTCAGTAATCCCAACTGACTGGAAAAGCATTTTTAAAAACTCTTTGAATCATTATCTAGCTCTTGAGATGTTTGAATTGTAAGCAAATCATTCCTTGGTGTCTTTTCTTTAAATTGACTTATTTATAGGGCTGGGTATGGTTCAAAAATATTCGATATCGATACCGGTTCCTGAGCGATACTTTTTTTCTATACCAATTTGATGAAATCTGTTTTAACAAGATTACATTACCTAAAAAAACCTTTGGTTTTATTTTCTCAGTTTGTTGACTTTTACAGACTCAATGACTCATATAGGCCACTGGGGGGGGCGACACTTTAGCACACGCATAAAGCTTGCCGCAAAGCACTGGCAAATATAACCTAATGATTATGAATGTGTCGGGGGAAAATAGCACACTTTTAATTGTTTATTAATAAACGTGTTGGCTGCAAAGATGAAGTTGACATTGCTGACTTGTAATCTCCGCAGTAGTGAATGCACGCACGCCTACAGAGAATGCACCTTTCATTAGGATTACATAATCAGATTATTAGTTTTCAATTCGAATTGGTTCGTTTAAAAGCTTTTCAAGCATTTCAAGCTTTCTATTATGCCTATTTCTCATGTCTGTGAGGCAAGTAGCCTATAAGCTGAGTTTCGGTTAATTTGTGACACGCTCGTTCTTCTTGCAGTCGAAGTGCTTCGTGTTGTCGGTCTTGGCAGCAATTATCTTGTCGCAAATATTGCATCGCGCACTGTTGGCATCAAACCTGGTGAAATGTGTTCCCACATCTTTTACATCTATGGTGGTTACACCTCATGTGTGAGCCATGTCTCTGGGCGTAACTGGCGTAAATTTGTGTTTTTCCTTGATGCCTTGCCACCGCCAATCATGCTGCATGATTATTGGCTAACTGAGATTGACGAGATTAACCCCTTGGGTAACGAACGACAAGAGATTTTTTGATACTCTATGGTAGAGGCAATTTGGTCGATGCCTAAAAAGTATCGATACCCTACTTATTTGAGAATCATATTTTGAAGAACAAGCTCAAAGAACAACTTGTTCACAATTCAAACATCACAAGAGGGAGATCAATCGGACTAAATATTCGTTCTAGATATTTCCATCACTTTTCCAATCCTGAAAGGCAATGATCATGGTAACCCCTATGTGAAAGTGTTCGTCTTAATAGGACTTACAACATGTGTTGATTCTCCAGACACAATGTGTCAATCTGAGTCTGCATTTCTTTTTCCCGTTCTGCCGCCTAAGAAAAGAGAAACAAAGCATTAGAGAGGCCAATGAGACATGTGCTCATAATCTTGTGTGGGAACTGACCTTTCTGTTTGCTTGCTGTAGTATAGCGTCCATGTCTCTCTGACTGTACTTCAGAACCTCTATGATGGAGTCCTCAGTCTTCACTGGCTGTTTTAAGGTGTGAACCAGTAAGTCCAGAACAGTTGGATCTGGTACCACAGTTTCCACTGCCTGAAGAGGATTAGACATGGTAAAATTGGCTCCAGTGTGCAAAGGAAAATGCTTGTTTCAGTGCCTACTAATATAGTGACAATGTTACAAAACCATGGATTACGGGAGTTTGTGTTGTCTTACTGGGGGAGGCAGATCATCCAGCAGTTTCATACTGTCATAGTGAGACTTCTGCTTTACTTCAGACTTTGCAGCCTCCATCATCCTAACACACAAAATAAGTTTGCATGATCGCTCATGTGTGCACTCTGGATTTTGATCACAATATAGATCAGATCTGTTGCATTGAGGCAATTTGTAATATTTTCAGTAACATTTCAAAAGACGTTTCAAAATTAAGAAACCGTTCATTTGAATGCGTTTGTGGAGAATACTGACCTGATGGCAAGAGAAGGCCGTGGCAGGCTGAATCCAGAGTTGCCACCGTCCACCAAAATTTTCTTTGGACTCTCCTTCAACAGCGGGTCAAACTTCAAATACAGTGACTGTTTCCGCAAAGCTGACTCCTTAAACTATAAAAAAAAATTCTGTGATGCACTGAAAATCTGAAATGTTGCTTAATAGAGGGTATGCATTGACGTCACTTTCCCGCCGGAACACGCCCCCTCAGCCAGACTGAGTGGCAAAAGAGCCTGCTGCATGACTGGATTTAACAGGGGAAACTTCAAAAACAAGCGATTATCTAAAGGTTTAAACATTCGATAGAGTGTTTCTTACAACTTACCAAAGATCCAGTGATCCATGGATATTGACATGTAGCCAAGAAACACGTTTCCTGACATTTATGTGCCTGGTTTCGACGCCAGTGAAAAACCAAGCAAATTTGCCTGTCAAAGCTTTATATAAATACAAGATAGGAAGGTCTAAATACGGATCACTTATATCAATGTTATACAGTAGTCAACATTTGAAGTGCATCAAAACCTTTCATCAAAGTTATACATTGTTGAACTATACCCGTTCTTGTCTTAGGACAGCTTTGATGAACTTTGATCCACTTCAAATGTTGACTACTGTATATAGGCCTATTATCATATCGTCCAGCACTAAAACTTGTAAAGTTTTTTTGCCCGTGTTTATTTAAAAACATCCCATTATGAAGAATATACAATAGTAAATATTTAATTGATGAGTTGTCAATACAATATACAGGATATGATTTTTTCAGTCTTTTTGCCACTAAGTGGGTGTAACCGCAGTTACTCCGGTCGACAGTGACATCGCGCGCATACCCTCTATAACCTAATTGCTTCACTCTATTTGGTGCAGCATTTCCTTTAAAAACTCATTTACTACTACTTTATTTATTTAAGACTCAAATGGAAACACTCACAGTGCTTGATCCAAACTGCTCCAGATAATCCATCTGCCCATCAAAATCTTCGTCTGGCATGACTGAGACAAAGAGCAAACATTTTGCTCCCAATGTTAAAAGCTTGCACCTGATGAGTCAGTGTCATTCAAAACGTGCAACCATGTTTACTCACACAATGCCCCTGGCACAAATTCTTCTTCACTTGGTGCCATCACACCAAGATCACAGGTCTGGTTCTGAAAATCCAATAAAGATTCAGGTGTTGCCATGATCTCTGGCTCCTGTGATATGCAAGTGTGGGACACAGCAGATGACTCTATATTTTCTGCCTGCTAGGAGAATAAGTGTAAAATGATTTTCTATGAAATAACACGATCATAACTTGTGGTAACAGACTGATTTTGTTGAAATTCTTAAATTGAAATGCACAGTTACCTGCTTGGTGACAGAAAGATCAGTTTCTGCCATGTTTCTATTGCTTTCAGAAACTGCTTGGTGAGATCTGGAGGAGAAAAAGAAAAATCTGAGCTCTATTTCCATTTATGCATTTGGTAAATACTTTTATCCAAAGTGCATTTCATTGCATTCAGGGAATACTAGGGGTGGGAATCTCTAGGCACCTCACGATTCGATTACGATTCAGAGGGCTGTGATGCAATGATAAAACGATTATCGATGCATCTTTTTTTTCTATAAAGATTCCCTCCCCCCCTCCTCTTACTGTGTGACTACTTGGTACTTTTAAAGCAAAGTATTTATAATGATCCATAATGAATTTACTTCCAAAATATTTTATTAATTAAACAAATGAAAGTGATTTGGCAATAAATGTTTTGATAAGAGTTTGTTCGCTTTGCCTTTTCCGAGTTGGGTGGAAGGAAGCTATTAAGGTTGTCCTGGTTTCCCTGTCAGTGTTGTTTGATCTGACGTGTGGTTTATAACAGAATTCTGTGCAGAATTTGAATGCTTCCAATAAGATCTCGCTGCGATGTTACTAATTCTGCAGTGAATTCAAATGCCTTCTCACTGGATCTCCCAGCGCTGTGTAATAATAATAATAATAATAATAATAATGTCGCGTGATTGAGATCGGCCCACGATTAAACCTGTTCTGAGCTCACGCTGCGCTAAACGTTCTGCGCAGCTCAAACGAATAGTGCGGTTTCGTTTCACTTTTGTTTACTTTCCGTTTGATGTTTCTCGTATCTAACAGACGTTGCAGCTCTTATTAATTGGACAACGTGGTGGTCGAACCAGTGAGACCTCGTTGCCCATTTGGTTGCAGCCTGGAACCCTACTTAAATTGTGGCTCCTGTCCAGGTCCTTTTACCTATCAACTTCATAGAAGCCAAAGTTACGCTAGATTTTAATGCAGTGGGTGCCGGTTGGATTTCTCGCTCAACCATCATGTGTCTGTTATTTCCACAGCTGCACACCACAGACTGTCCCATCATGTTATCAATTAACATTTGAAAATCGATTTTTGACATTTGCGATTCGATTCAGAATCGTCCGCATCGCGATGCATCTAAGAATCGATTTTATCCTCCACCCCTAGGGAATACATTTAATCACATCATCTGAGAATCAAACCAATAATTGAGCTACAGGCACGCATCTGAAAATTATTTTTAAAATTACATGTGTTGTGTTTATACATGCTGTTCTAGCTCTAGTTTCTGTACCGGTTCTCAGGCTGATCATCCTGTGTAGGAGCCTCAGGCTGTTGAAGAGGAGATTGTGCTTTCATCAAAACCGGGCTGGTCCTGACCCCACGTGGTGGAGAGCTACCCATTGCAGCCTTTGTACCAAATGGGTTAAAGTTTGGGTCGTCAAAATCAAAGGTGTAAGAACCTTGAACAGAAGGAACATCCACAGGTTTTGTCTCCTCTGGCTTCTTGGGGGACAACTTCTTGGGTTCTGGTTCTTTCTTCTCTGTGACCGTTTTTTTGGTCACAGTTTTTGCACCTGCAGGTCTTTTGACCCCAAAGCGTTTTGGAGGTTTGCGCTTGACTTCAGCTCCATCGTCAAAGTTAAACTCTAGTAGCATCTGGTTCTCCTTAGGTGGCATCGAGGCATTGGAGGATGTTGGGACAACTGGGGTCTGGACTAAGAGCTCTGATTCCAGCTTGGCTTCTTGGCCTGGCAGTGGTGGGACATCTGGGGTCTGGACTAAGAGCTCTGATTCCAGCTTGGCTTCTTGGCCTGGCAGTGGTGGGACATCTGGGGTCTGGACTAAGAGCTCTGATTCCAGCTTGGCTTCTTGGCTTGGCAGGGGTGGGATATCTGGAGTCTGGACTAAGAGCTCTGATTCCAGCTTGGCTTCTTGGCTTGGGACATCTGGGCTATGGACTGGGAGCTCAGATTCCTGCTTGGTTTCTTGGCTTGGGACATCTGGGCTATGGACTGAGAGCTCAGATTCCTGCTTGGTTTCTTGGCTTGGGATATCTGGGCTATGGACTGAGAGCTCAGACTCCTGCTTGGTTTCTTGGCTTGGGACATCTGGGCTATGGACCGAGAGCTCAGATTCCTGCTTGGTTTCTTGGCTTGGGACATCTGGGCTATGGACTGAGAGCTCAGATTCCTGCTTGGTTTCTTGGCTTGGGATATCTGGGCTATGGACTGAGAGCTCAGACTCCTGCTTGGTTTCTTGGCTTGGGACATCTGGGCTATGGACCGAGAGCTCAGATTCCTGCTTGGTTTCTTGGCTTGGGACATCTGGGCTATGGACTGAGAGCTCAGACTCCTGCTTGGCTTCTTGGCTTGGGACATCTGGGCTATGGACTGAGAGCTCAGACTCCTGCTTGGCTCCTTGGCTTGGGAGATCTGGGCTATGGACTGAGAGCTCTGATTCCAGCTTGGCTTCTTGGCTTGGCAGGGGCGGGACATCTGGGGTCTGGATTGAGATCTCTGATTCCTGCTTGGCTTCTTGGATTGGCAGGGGTGGATCAGAAACAACTGATGCTTTGCCAATCAGAGGAGAGTTTGGGATCTTTGAGCCACCAGTTTGGAATGGGTTGAGCAAATCAAGATTGTCAAAATCCAAGTTGTACGATCCTGCGGGGGGAAGTGGCAAATCCTGGGCCTCAAGCTGATCTTCCATAGTAGGGATCGGCTGTGACGCTGGGGCTGGCTCAGTCTCCTCTGTCTCTGTGATGCTGTTTTCAACATTATCAGTCTTGATGATGACAGTACCCTCTGCTGAAGATATGTTGGCAGAACATTCTGCAAGGGAATTATCCACTGATGAGATAAAAGGAAGAGTCTCATCAAGTGCAGAGTTGGTCACCTCTGGAACAAGGGCTGCAGTTGTATCGGACTCTACAAGCTCTGATATCCAAGCCTCATAATGCCCCAAAGCGGAAGACTTAGGAGGTGAATTCGCCATTTTATTGGACCCCTGGAAAGGGTTGATGGCATCTGGATTGTCGAGATTGAGGGTATAGGCCCCTTTGCTCTGAACAGGAATGACATCATCAGGGTAGGCAACGTAGTTACTCTGCATTTTAATCGGTGTGGTGGTGGTGGTGTTATTCAACAATGAACTCCTGTAAAAACACATTCATTTTTACATGTTAGTGGATTGTCATTTTCATTTTAAAAGATTATTATGAATGACTGCTACAGCTTATGATTGCATAAAGACACTGAAATAAATTGGATGTTAAAAAAAAAAATATTATGCCTTGTTAAATTATTATTCTAAAATATTATAAAAGTTAAATCATAAACAAGTTGAGCTGCAAGTAATTTGCTCACTGGTCAGTAGAGGCTGAGTGAGTCTTCAGTGCTTTAGTATTGTCCTCTTGGATGGCAGGCCTACTGGTGCGGCTCGGGGACATGATTTTCTTCGTGACTGGGTCTCGCCGTGGAGTTTGAAAACAAACCTATGCAAAAACAACAAAGATCTACGCATGTAAATCAAAACACTACAGTACATGTCCGACAATACACGGTCAACAAATGCTTAACTTCTTATAGAATGGCCCCTCCCCCTTTTCAAATAGCATTTAGTTTATCTCACAGACTACAATTCGTACTTGACAGCACCATGGAAGCGAGACCGAGCGCTGATGATAATACGTTGGATTCAATAGTACAGGTGTGAATAAATTCTAGCCATTTCATTCTTAACCAACGTACAGTTGGAAAATGGAATAAAACTCGAGCGTTTGAGCAACCGAATACACATCTCCAACCCACATTGCTCCGTAACTTGTCAACGCCGGCCGCTTTGGCCAGGTGGTATTTATAGCAAAAGGGGCGGGACGCTTTAGATTCTAGAGAGCATTTGATTGGACAGAAGATTTGATGAGAAGCTGAAATCAACAGTGATGTTATAAAAATCCGTGATCCATTTTAACGGATTTGTTTTGGAACACACCAGCTTATTCATAACCTTAAGGTTAGCCACGGCAGGCAAAAACATTGTTGTTTTTTTTTACACTGGTCAATTTTGAGATTTTGGGATATTTGTCTTCAATAACATGTCTTCTTTCAGACTTGTGGTGAAAAAAAGTCCAAAATACACATTTAGGTCTTTAATTTACTACACTTTGTCTGTTTGCGTCTGTAGATTTCTGATAAATTAAAAATTGGCGTTCTAAAATAAAATAAAATAAAAAACTTAAAAAAAGGCGTTCCGCTGCTCCGCGATCGCTGTCTGCACCCTGTCATCACATACACCGTTAGAAAGCTCTCTCTCTCTCCTGTACAATGCTGTCGGATCCAAATATGGTCATTTCCTTTTTATCAGCAACCAATTGTGAAAGTAAAAGGGGGGATTTGAACTCTAAATGCGCAATCTCATTGGCTGATGCTAAATCTTTAAAGCTTGTTTTCTCAAAATGACTTCTCTCATACTCCAAGTCCGAAATCTCCACTTCAGTAGCACCTATATACACCAAACGTTCCAGTCTTGTATCTAGTTATATTATGAAGACATTTACAGAGGAATTTGTAAATTATTTTTAGCCTAATTTATATAGCATTTTATTCCAAAAACCTTTGGAAAATCATTTAAGGCTATTGACAGTATATTCTGATTTACAGGATAACAACAGTAGATATCCATAAATCCTTCTGTAATTGTTATTACTCACCCTCACGTTGTTCCAACCCCGTAAGACTTTAGTTCATCTTTGGAACACAAATTAAGATATTTTTGATGAAATCTGAGAGCTGGCTCACTCCTTCATAGACTGCAAGGTAATTTCATCTGCCAGCCCCGAAAAGTGAGTAAAGACATCGTTAAAATAGTCCAAGTGACTAACAGTGGCTCAACCTTAAGTTTATCAAGCGCCTTGAATACTTGGTGAGCAAAAAAACAAAGAAAACGACTATTCAACTATTCATTTTCTTCTGTGTGGGCCTCTGACGTGAGTTCTCGAGAGTGCCACGACGCATGTGAGAACTGAGAAGATGGTGCTCACAATCATTTGATGGGAAAGTGTGAAAGGTAAGCCATTCATTTTAAGGCATTGATAAGACACTTTTACATTTTCTCACGATTCGGACATCCAGGAAATGCACACTTTAAAACCATTTTAAACACTATCAAGGCCCATCTGCGTCATCTTCTCAGTTCTCGCGCATGCGTCGTGGCTCTCTCGTGAACTCGCGTCAGAGGCCCACACAGAAGAAAATGAATAGTTGAATAAAGTCGTTATTTTTGCGCACAAAACGTACTCGTCGCTTGATAAACTTAAGGTTGAGCCACTGTTAGTCACTTGGACTATTTTAACGATGTCTTTACTCACTTTTCTGGGCTGGCAGATGAAATTACCTTGCAGCCTATGACGGAGTGAGCCAGCGCTCAGACTTCATAAAAAAAATATCTTAATTTGTGTTCCAAAGATGAATGAAAGTCTTACGGGGTTGGAACAACGTGAGGGTGAGTAATAACTGACAGAATTTTCATTTTTGGGTGAACTAACCCTTTAAGGCTAACATATTCATACTAAAATAAAATAAAAACCTTACATTTTGATTTCAGGGGGCCTTTAAGCAACACAACTGTTTTCAACATTGATAGTAATAAGAAATGTTTCTTGAGCAGCAAACCAGCATATTGAATGATTTCTGAAGGATCACTCAACACTGAAGACAGGAGTAATGATGACTGCTGAAAGTTCCGCTTTGTCATCATAGAAATAAAATTACATTTTAAAATATATATATATATATATTAAAATAGAAAACATTACAATTGAGAATTTAGTGCACAAAACTAAAGGTAAAAGCACAAATGGAAACCTTTGGAAAACCCACCTTTGCTCCTCTCTGCGCAGTCCTGCTGATGTTGTCAGCCTGCGACTGCCGCAGGATGGAGGGCCTGCCAGTCGGCTGCTCCAATGCGAAAATGTCACAAGCGTCTTCAGAACAGCCGTTCATCCATACAGCTCCCTGATTCTCCTTCAGCGCCTCAGAACTCATACTGCAAGAAAGAGAGTCACAGAATATGACAACATGGGTTTTGGAAAGCCACGCCCAGCGGGCACCATTCACAGCTGGTTTTACTGATAAGACCCGGAGGCGGGCATCTGACCTTCTCACCCAACACCCAGAGACACTTATACTCATGAGACACCTCAAATCTGTTGCATTTCTTTCGAGCATCAGACAGAGATCAGACTAACCCACTGTGACTAACAACCCAAGCATGTAATATCAACCGGTGCAATTCAGCTATGTGCTGAGGGAACAAAGTGGTTCTTTATCTGTGAAGGAATCATGCCTTAGAGAGATGGTCAAAGGATATAGCAGAAGAAAACCAGCAGTTAACTAAGCATTTTTTTATGGCAGCAACACAGCCTTGTGATTTGGCTTATAGTAACATATGGTCTATCAGACACTGTGGCAATCCCTTGATGGCATGATTTTGACAAGGAGGAACAAGAGACTGGTAAAATTTTCAAAGAATCATTACCAATTTTGGCCTCATCTGTCCTTCCCTGGATTCTGCTCAACTATGTAGGACTGACAATAAAATTGTCAGCTTTGTAATGACAGGCACTTCTGACAGCTTCTCTCTTCTACAGCCTACCTGGACAGGTTATAAACAGCCCACCATCAAATAACATTATCAGGTTTTAACCTGGACACAGTTATATCCAAGATTAATTAATCGAAATGAAAGCAATAAAGTAAAGAAGCCAAACAAGAACAGCCAGTAAGATTTGAACTAAGACTAAAAGTTAACAGCCACGTGCCCACATGACACAGGGTTGATAAAAAATAACATTTAAGAACCAACCATACATTTCAATAAAAAAGCTAAATACGTAAGTTACTTTTTTATTGGAAATACAATGTCTCAAAATCTCAAACAAAGATCAAACTATTTGTATTTATATTTGTTTTCCAAACCAATACTAAATTTTCTTGCCATTATTATCCAAATAATTGCACACATTTCATGAACACAATAAGAGTGAAGATCTCTGCATAAGTCAATTAGATCGATAACAGTAATTAAAATTTAAAAAGTATCACCAGCGTCCTAGTAAGTTAACGTTAACGTTAGCACTGGCAAAACCAGTAAAAGACGTTGCTAATTAAGTTACGTTCAATATCCCGCAATATTTCATTATAGGTATCCTATAACTGTATACACGGTTTCCTAAAATACGTACCTTATTCAAAATGCTCAAATTTAACACAAAAAAAAACCTTTTCTTCTCAGTGAAAGACAGCGCGACACACACAGAGAGGCTGTGCGTCTACAATGTTCCGCAATCCGCTGTTTGTTTGAAACGGTTCAAATTTAAACACGCAGTCTCAGCCAATCAAAAGCAAGATTCGCCGTTTGCCAGGCGGGGCGGTCACATGAATTGACCAATAACATTGGGCGTGAAACTGCCGTCCTAGTGGATGTTCTTTTGATCGACATCCAAATCATCCAATGGGGCGAAAAAACATTGACGCAGACAGATAGGTAAATAAATACGATAGATATATATGTCTATGAATAAATACGACCTAGGGGCTGTTCCATAAACCAAGTTTAGAGTATAAGCCAGGCTTATTTCGGTTAGTCAGGCTTATTTTTGGTAGATTCGGTTTCATAAATCAAACTTAAAAAAGTTCAAACTCAGTTACCCTGGCAACTTATGCTGGGAAACTAGCCTGGTCCAGGGCAGGCTAACTGTCAGGCTAAGCCTCAGTTTTTACACAGATCCTCAACACTGACCGACAAGAACACAATGATATTACCACTGACAGTCTCTAATACCATTATTGGACTTTATAAATACACAGTATACAGAAAATCAACTTAAATAAGGCTACAATATAGACAATATAGACACATATAAGGCGTTTTAAAGTTGTCCGTTTAGGACATGTCATTTTTGTAGTAAAAGACATTTTAATTAAGGAATGCCTCGGTTATCAGAGAATTCTTTCTCTACACTGTCTCTTGTATATATATATATATATATATATATATTTTTTTTTTTATGTACTTTATTATGTCTTTCAATTCAAACACATTTAACACAATTATACAAATGGACAGTTCCTTTAAAGACATCATATTTTCCCCCAATTAATATTCCTTATTTTTCCTTCTACTTTTTTTTTTCTTTTGTGATAATACCAACACATACATATAAATAAAACAATAAATAAATATTAATAAAAATAAAACATTCACATATATCAAACTCTTATAATGAATGACACATAATTCCTAATAGTTATTCAAGTAATATTATTTAAATATTAAATATTCAATATTAAATAAGTAAATAAATAAAATAACAAATAACTAGAAATAAAAGGGAAGTTTACATTAAATGTAGTTAATGTAGGCCAATATATATTCCTTTTTTTTATGGAATATTCTTTGATTTTAGAGTTGCACATAATATCTTTTCAAAATGTATATATTTGTTCTTAATTTAATGTTATCCCCTCCATACTGTACTTTAGAAACTAAATCTAACCACTCATTTAAAACTGGGGATTCTTGCTTTCTCAAAAAAAATATTGCATAAAAAGCTGTAATTCTCAGCATTCTAAATAAGTATATATCATCTTTATAAAGTAGCATAGGTCCTATACCCAAAAATATATTTTGTATCTTTATATATTTAGTTTCTTTAAAAAAATCTTCCCTGAATTAGGCTACTTCTGTTCAATTTCTTTTTTTTATTAAAAGTATAAAATATATGAGTGTAATGAGCTAGAAGTTCACTGCAACTTATCCAACATCCTAAAGAGAAATTATTATAAGATATTTCTAGTGTTATAAAATATCGCATATTAATTTTCCAAGCAAAATGTATATTTTAGTCAGAATTATTGCACTCCTATTTGGCGCGCATGCGCGCAGCAGCGCTCGTTCAATATGAAGATTTTTATAATATAAGATATTTTAAAGGTGCATTGAGCAACTTTTCATGTTAAAAATACCTGTTTTTCTATCCTATACATGCTTAAAGAACTGCCTGATGGGCTGAATGAGCCCTTCTCTGCGCACTGAGATTGCCTCTATAATCCTGTACAGTAAAATATATAAGAGGGATTCGGGCTCGAATTTGAGACTGGGCGTGACGTCATGCGCGTTCACGCTCACCAGGCTATGTCTCGCAGGTTTGTGTATTCGCCGGCGCCGCCATTCTCCGCATCAGCGAAGACAACTCGTGGGTCAAAGGTAGAAGATGGATTCAAAGAGACCGGCTTGTAGTCCATTCCAAACCCCAACGCAAACTCCACGTAAAGTAAAGAAAAGAAACATTTTGTCTAGTGCCACCAAAAGGTCCAAATTGGAGTCAGACAGGCGTCGGAGTAAGACGAGAGTCAACCTCGGGAAGGCATTCAACAAATGGAGAGATCTCCGGTCTGCTCTTGGTCTCAAACGGGATCCTCAGTTGGCTTTTTTCTTGATAAAACGGTAAGATATATAGCCCAGTCTCTAATATTTGATACGGCCAATGTATGTATGACAACAAATGACGATGCGTAAAATGTGTAATGCTTTAGCGTAAGCTAGATACATGTACAATCAGAATTGGTTGCATTTTCCCTTGTCGCCAGAGGGGGCGTAGTTCTGCAAAAACTCAGAGACTTGCGTTTTGCACCTTTAAATGTCAGAGATTTGGACATGTTGCAGCAGTGTGTAGAGGAAACCAAAGATGTGCAAGATTTGGAGGAGAGCACGATTACGGTAAATGTGAACAAGGAGTAAATCCCAAATGTTGTAACTGTGGGGGAGATCACAGCGCAGGGTATGGAGGATGCCAAGCGAGGAAAAAAGTAGTGAAAGTACAAAATGTCAGAGTGGAAGATGGGTTAACATATGCGGAGGACCTGAAGAAAGTTGAACAGGAAACAAAAACAACAGAAATTGAGAAAGTTGGATATCAGACAATGAATAAAGGAATTGAAGAAACTGAGAAGGATCCACTGGAGATTGATAAAGTGTCTTTTGTAGCATTTATAGCTGAAGTGGTAAATTGCTCAGCACAAACGGAAAGTCGGACAGAGAGAATTAAAATCATTGTGAGAGCAGCAGAAAAGTATCTGGAAATGGAGGGAATCAGTGTGGAGATGGTAAATGAAAAATTAAAAATACAGTGAGGAAATACTCAGACAACATGTGGTGGTTCGTAATGGTATTAAAGGTACTCTACGTAACTTTTAGCGGCCTCTAGTGGTGATGTTTCAGATTGCAACCAAATTTTACAAGAGCGCTCGTGCTCGAACTCATAGACAATACCGTCTATTACGCAAATATCTCGGCGAATACTTGACGGATTCGGCGAGCACCGAGCTCGTTGGGACCATCTAGTCGAGCTGAAAAGAACCATATAAGTTCCATAGTTTTTGGTGGTGTTTTCGCGGAGATATTAGCAGAAAACCATCGGGCGCGCTGCAAAATTGCGGACGCCGGTGACGTCACGATCTCAGAAGAAAATCGCTCGTATCTCTGGAACGCAAAGACCCAGAGAGCTCAAATTCGGGGGAGGAGGTCCCAGGGGAACCCTTGCCCGAACGCTAGAGTGGCGGGCCTCGGGGATGCCCCCTACCGGATCGCCGTTCGCTGGGACCCCCGATTTCGAACGGCTATAACTCGGGGAGCCGGGCGAGTTGGACCTCGGGGGTGGGCTCGTTCGAAAGGCCCCGTCCAGCACTACGAACGATTATAGTCTTGGGAATATTGATCAAAGATTGACTGAGATAGAAGCCGAAAAACACGCGCCTTTAACCGGACGTAACTCCCTGACCGTCTACAATAGACTGTATATAAGGAGAGAGGCTCGGGAGCGCGCATGCACGTCATATCCGTTGGATTTCGCGGTAAATCCGACCCGGAGACTTCACATAGAAATAGGAATACTGGCCTTCAGAGGTAATAGCAAAACTCGACAAGTGGATCATTTTAATGTGTGATTACAACCCCTTCACACACAGGCAATAAAAAAAGGATTCATTTTAGTAGAAAAGTTACAGAGCACCTTTAATAATATTGCAATGGAACGCAAGAAGTTTGATTGCAAACGGACAGGAATTTAAGAACTTTATATCAAAACAAGAAAGATGTCCAGATATAATATGTGTTCAGGAGTCTTGGTTGAAACCATGTCTTAATTTTACATTACAAGGATATATTGTAAAACGTAGAGATAGAACAGGTGGAACTGGAGGGGGGATAGTAACGTTCATAAAACAAGATATAGGGTACAGGATTGTAGAGATTAATCAGGAACAAGAGGTATTGGTAGTTGAAATATGGGAAGGCTCAGAGAGTATAAAAATAGTAAACCTTTATAATCCATGTAAGAAACTAAATATAGGAGATTTGGTAAAAATAGATGAGAAAGGAGATCAAAAGATGGTATGGTGTGGAGATTTTAATTCTCATAACATTATGGGGGAGTGAAATTACTGATCAAAATGGATTGGTAGTGGAAGAAATGTTAGAGTTAAGAGGATTAGTATGTATAAACGATGGATCAGGCACAAGAATAGATATAGGAAGTGGAAAGATGTCAGCTTTAGATTTAACTTTGGTATCAGATAATTTAGCTAGGAAAAGTACTTGGAAAGTAATGACTCAAAATAATATAGAAAGCGATCATTTTCCAATATTATGTAAAATAGGAGTAGAGATCCAAAAAGAAAAGGTTGAGAGAATTCAAAGATGGGCATTTAATACAGCCCAGTCTCATCCCAAGACGTCATATGTCTGACGCTTTTGACCATACGTCAACATCCGACATTTTAGGGTACCCTTTAACGTCAGGATATGACGCTATGAAATCCTAACCCTACCCCAGACCTAAACCTACCCGCGTCATGTAACTGACGCTAAAGGTAAAGCGTCAGACATATGACGCCCTAGGATCGTCATCTAGTTAAATACAAATATTTGTAAAGCAATAAGGAGTGCAGCAGTAGAGGCGATAGGAAAAAATAAATCCAGGAATAGGAAAAAGGTGGTTCCTTGGTGGAATGAGGATTGTAGTGAGGCAGTCTTTATAAGAAATAAAGCTCTAAGGAAAGTAAGAAGTAGTATTAATTTTAATGATTTAATAAACTATAAAAAGGCACAAGCAAAAGTGAGGCGTGTGATAAGAAAAGCAAAAAGAAATTATTGGAGGGATTTTTGTGAGAGTATTGGTGAAGACATTGAAATTAACGAAATATGGGCGATGATCAGAAAGATGAGTGGAATTCAGAGATCTAGTAGCATACCAGTTTTAATAGATAAAGAAAAATCGGTGGTTTCTGATAAAGAAAA